CTCACTCTGGTGTCCTTACAGGGGCGTCCTACTGACAGTTCTCACTCTGGTGTCCTTACAGAGGCGTCCTACTGACAGTTCTGACTCTGGTGTCCTTACAGGGGCGTCCTACTGACAGTTCTGACTCTGGTGTCCTTACAGGGGCGTCCTACTGACAGTTCTCACTCTGGTGTCCTTACAGGGGCGTCCTACTGACAGTTCTCACTCTGGTGTCCTTACAGGGGCGTCCTACTGACAGTTCTCACTCTGGTGTCCTTACAGGGGGCGTCCTACTGACAGTTCTGACTCTGGTGTCCTTACAGGGGCGTCCTACTGACAGTTCTGACTCTGGTGTTCTTACAGGGGGCGTCCTACTGACAGTTCTCACTCTGGTGTCCTTACAGAGGCGTCCTACTGACAGTTCTCACTCTGGTGTCCTTACAGGGGCGTCCTACTGACAGTTCTCACTCTGGTGTCCTTACAGAGGCGTCCTACTGACAGTTCTCACTCTGGTGTCCTTACAGGGGCGTCCTACTGACAGTTCTCACTCTGGTGTTCTTACAGGGGCGTCCTACTGACAGTTCTGACTCTGGTGTCCTTACAGAGGCGTCCTACTGACAGTTCTCACTCTGGTGTCCTTACAGGGGCATCCTACTGACAGTTCTCACTCTGGTGTCCTTACAGGGGCGTCCTACTGACAGTTCTCACTCTGGTTTCCTTACAGGGGCGTCCTACTGGTACGAGCTGATGGAACGGGAGGTTCAGGAAGCTTTACAACGGCCCAAGAATGAAGGGAAAGCCAAGAATATTATATTATTTCTTGGTGATGGTAAGTTGTCTGGAGCCAGGTGTGTGACGCATGTGGCAGGTATAGTGTTTATCCTGCAGGTGTGTTGCAGGTATAGTGTTTATCCTGCAGGTATAGTGTTTATCCTGCAGGTATAGTGTTTATCCTGCAGGTGTGTTGCAGGTATAGTGTTTATCCTGCAGGTGTGTGGCAGGTATAGTGTTTATCCTGCAGGTGTGTGGCAGGTATAGTGTTTATCCTGCAGGTGTGTGGCAGGTATAGTGTTTATCCTGCAGGTGTGTGGCAGGTATAGTGTTTATCCTGCAAGTGTTTTGCAGGTATAGTGTTTATCCTGCAGGTATAGTGTTTATCCTGCAGGTTTAATGTTTATCCTGCAGGTATAGTGTTTATCCTGCAGGTGTGTTGCAGGTATAGTGTTTATCCTGCAGGTGTGTTGCAGGTATAGTGTTTATCCTGCAGGTATAGTGTTTATCCTGCAGGTTTAATGTTTATCCTGCAGGTATAGTGTTTATCCTGCAGGTGTGTTGCAGGTATAGTGTTTATCCTGCAGGTTTAATGTTTATCCTGCAGGTATAGTGTTTATCCTGCAGGTGTGTTGCAGGTATAGTGTTTATCCTGCAGGTGTGTTGCAGGTATAGTGTTTGTCCTGCAGGTGTGTGGCAGGTATAGTGTTTATCCTGCAGGTGTGTGGCAGGAATAGTGTTTATCCTGCAGGCTTAATGTTTATCCTGCAGGTGTGTGGCAGGTATAGTGTTTATCCTGCAGGTGTGTGGCAGGAATAGTGTTTATCCTGCAGGCTTAATGTTTATCCTGCAGGTGTGTGGCAGGTATAGTGTTTATCCTGCAGGTGTGTGGCAGGAATAGTGTTTATCCTGCAGGCTTAATGTTTATCCTGCAGGTGTGTGGCAGGAATAGTGTTTATCCTGCAGGCTTAATGTTTATCCTGCAGGTGTGTGGCAGGTATAGTGTTTATCCGGCAGGTGTGTGGCAGGAATAGTGTTTATCCTGCAGGTGTGTTGCAGGTATAGTGTTTATCCTGCAGGTGTGTGGCAGGTATAGTGTTTATCCTGCAGGTATAGTGTTTATCCTGCAGGTGTGATGCAGGTATAGTGTTTATCCTGCAGGTGTGTGGCAGGTATAGTGTTTATCCTGCAGGTATAGTGTTTATCTTGCAGGTGTATTGTTTATCCTGCAGGTGTGTTGCAGGTATAGTGTTTATCCTGCAGGTATGTGGCAGGTATAGTGTTTATCCTACAGGTATGTGGCAGGTGTATAGGTGTGTTATAGTGTTTATCCTACAGGTTGCAGGTATAGTGTTTATCCTACAGGTGTGTGGCAGGTATAGTGTTTATCCTGCAGGTGTGTGGTAGATATAGTGTTTGTCCTGCAGGTGTGTGGCAGGTATAGTGTTTATCCTGCAGGTGTGTGGTAGATATAGTGTTTGTCCTGCAGGTGTGTGGCAGGTATAGTGTTTATCCTGCAGGTGTGTGGCAGGTATAGTGTTTATCCTGCAGGTGTGTGGCACGTATGGTGTTTATCTTGCATGTATGTGGCAGGTATAGCGTTTATCCTGCAGGTGTGTGGCACGTATGGTGTTTATCTTGCATGTATGTGGCAGGTATAGCGTTTATCCTGCAGGTGTGTGGCAGGTAGTGTTTATCCTGCAGGTGTGTGGCAGGTAGTGTTTATCCTGCAGGTGTGTGGCCGGTAGTGTTTATCCTGCAGGTGTGTGGCAGGTATAGCGTTTATCCTGCAGGTGTGTGGCAGGTAGTGTTTATCCTGCAGGTGTGTGGCAGGTAGTGTTTATCCTGCAGGTGTGTGGCAGGTATAGCGTTTATCCTGCAGGTGTGTGGCAGGTAGTGTTTATCCTGCAGGTGTGTGGCAGGTAGTGTTTATCCTGCAGGTGTGTGGCAGGTATAGCGTTTATCCTGCAGGTGTGTGGCAGGTAGTGTTTATCCTGCAGGTGTGTGGCAGGTAGTGTTTATCCTGCAGGTGTGGGGCAGGTATAGCGTTTATCCTGCAGGTGTGTGGCAGGTAGTGTTTATCCTGCAGGTGTGTGGCAGGTAGTGTTTATCCTGCAGGTGTGTGGCAGGTAGTGTTTATCCTGCAGGTGTGTGGCAGGTATAGCGTTTATCCTGCAGGTGTGTGGCAGGTAGTGTTTATCCTGCAGGTGTGTGGCAGGTAGTGTTTATCCTGCAGGTGTGTGGCAGGTATAATGTTTATCCTGCAGGTGTGTGGCAGGTATAATGTTTATCCTGCAGGTGTGTGGCAGGTATAGTGTTTATCCTGCAGGTGTGTGGCAGGTATAATGTTTATCCTGCAGGTGTGTGGCAGGTATAATGTTTATCCTGCAGGTGTGTGGCAGGTATAATGTTTATCCTGCAGGTGTGTGGCAGGTATAATGTTTATCCTGCAGGTGTGTGGCAGGTATAGTGTTTATCCTGCAGGTGTGTGGCAGGTATAATGTTTATCCTGCAGGTGTGTGGCAGGTATAATGTTTATCCTGCAGGTGTGTGGCAGGTATAATGTTTATCCTGCAGGTGTGTGGCAGGTATAGTGTTTATCCTGCAGGTGTGTGGCAGGTATAATGTTTATCCTGCAGGTGTGTGGCAGGTATAATGTTTATCCTGCAGGTGTGTGGCAGGTAGTGTTTATCCTGCAGGTGTGTGGCAGGTATAGCGTTTATCCTGCAGGTGTGTGGCAGGTAGTGTTTATCCTGCAGGTGTGTGGCAGGTAGTGTTTATCCTGCAGGTGTGTGGCAGGTAGTGTTTATCCTGCAGGTGTGTGGCAGGTAGTGTTTATCCTGCAGGTGTGTGGCAGGTATAGCGTTTATCCTGCAGGTGTGTGGCAGGTAGTGTTTATCCTGCAGGTGTGTGGCAGGTAGTGTTTATCCTGCAGGTGTGTGGCAGGTATAGCGTTTATCCTGCAGGTGTGTGGCAGGTAGTGTTTATCCTGCAGGTGTGTGGCAGGTAGTGTTTATCCTGCAGGTGTGTGGCAGGTATAGCGTTTATCCTGCAGGTGTGTGGCAGGTAGTGTTTATCCTGCAGGTGTGTGGCAGGTAGTGTTTATCCTGCAGGTGTGTGGCAGGTATAGCGTTTATCCTGCAGGTGTGTGGCAGGTAGTGTTTATCCTGCAGGTGTGTGGCAGGTAGTGTTTATCCTGCAGGTGTGTGGCAGGTATAGTTTATCCTGCAGGTGTGTGGCAGGTAGTGTTTATCCTGCAGGTGTGTGGCAGGTAGTGTTTATCCTGCAGGTGTGTGGCAGGTAGTGTTTATCCTGCAGGTGTGTGGCAGGTATAGCGTTTATCCTGCAGGTGTGTGGCAGGTAGTGTTTATCCTGCAGGTGTGTGGCAGGTAGTGTTTATCCTGCAGGTGTGTGGCAGGTATAATGTTTATCCTGCAGGTGTGTGGCAGGTATAATGTTTATCCTGCAGGTGTGTGGCAGGTATAGTGTTTATCCTGCAGGTGTGTGGCAGGTATAATGTTTATCCTGCAGGTGTGTGGCAGGTATAATGTTTATCCTGCAGGTGTGTGGCAGGTATAATGTTTATCCTGCAGGTGTGTGGCAGGTATAATGTTTATCCTGCAGGTGTGTGGCAGGTATAGTGTTTATCCTGCAGGTGTGTGGCAGGTATAATGTTTATCCTGCAGGTGTGTGGCAGGTATAATGTTTATCCTGCAGGTGTGTGGCAGGTATAATGTTTATCCTGCAGGTGTGTGGCAGGTATAGTGTTTATCCTGCAGGTGTGTGGCAGGTATAATGTTTATCCTGCAGGTGTGTGGCAGGTATAATGTTTATCCTGCAGGTGTGTGGCAGGTAGTGTTTATCCTGCAGGTGTGTGGCAGGTATAGCGTTTATCCTGCAGGTGTGTGGCAGGTAGTGTTTATCCTGCAGGTGTGTGGCAGGTAGTGTTTATCCTGCAGGTGTGTGGCAGGTATAATGTTTATCCTGCAGGTGTGTGGCAGGTAGTGTTTATCCTGCAGGTGTGTGGCAGGTATAATGTTTATCCTGCAGGTGTGTGTCAGGTATAGTGTTTATCCTGCAGGTGTGTGTCAGGTATAGTGTTTATCCTGCAGGTGTGTGTCAGGTATAGTGTTTATCCTGCAGGTGTGTGGCAGGTATAGTGTTTATCCTGCAGGTGTGTGGCAGGTATAGTGTTTATCCTGCAGGTGTGTGGCAGGTATAATGTTTATCCTGCAGGTGTGTGTCAGGTATAGTGTTTATCCTGCAGGTGTGTGGCAGGTATAGTGTTTATCCTGCAGGTGTGTGGCAGGTATAGTGTTTATCCTGCAGGTGTGTGGCAGGTATAGTGTTTATCCTGCAGGTGTGTGGCAGGTATAGTGTTTATCCTGCAGGTGTGTGGCAGGTATAATATGTTATCCTGGAAATGTGTCAATCAGGAGCCCCTTAGTAAAACCATATTGTAAATCCTTTATTAATACATGTTTTTCAAGCATTAGTCGATTGGCTTTTTGCGATTATCGATTGGAACATTTTCCAGCAATACATGTTAATCCATCCCTAGTTAATCCCTACATGTTAATCCATCCCTAGTTAAGCAATACATGTTAATCCATACATGTGGTTATGGCCTAATACACCCCCAGGCGCAAAAATAAATAAATAAATAAATAAATAAATAAATAAATAAATAAATAAATAAATAAATAAATAAATATTTTCTGTCTTATAAAAGTGTTCATTGTGTTCCCTGACCACGGGGGAAAAATCGTAGGTGACATATTTTGGCGGCAATAGGGCAGGGAAGTCTGGCAAAAAACAGGCGTTGACAGAGCAGGCGCCAGACGAGGTCGGCTCTGCCCCAGCTGTCAGGCAGGAGTTGCCACAAAGATATTATTACCTAATTATTTCAATGTCTCTGATTTATTTTTTCTTAGTGTTTTTGCAGTAATGCTATTCAATAGTGTGTAGTGTGATGTATTTATATAATAAAATGTGTGAACCATCGCTATACTCAAAAGTATGGTGTGCATATTAGTGTTATTATGATCATAAAACAAT